CCACCAGTAACTAATACTTTTCCATTTCCTAATATAGATGCTGTATGATATTCTCGTGCAATATTCATGTTTCCTGTAGTTATCCATCCTAAATAAGATAGACAAGTGGGAAAAAAATAATATTCTTCCAAGAATTTTAAATCAGCCATATACAAAAGTTGTGTATACAATGAATATGAGCTAAATGGTTTCAGAACTTCAATATAATTTTCTCTGTTTTTACGGGTAGGATAAGGTCCATATCGAAATTTTAAACTAATATAGAATGGATAAGAACGTTACACTTTTTTGAATTTCAACTAATTAATGAAAGACATATCACTTTTTTTTACTGTCAAATATGTCTGTCAACCAAGTAATAGTCATGTATCCTTTGTGGCATCTGTTTCATTCATCGAGTTTCAATATGTGCAAAAGTAGTGCATTTTTTTGGTAAAAATCTAAATTCTAATGGTGTCTTTGCACGGAGATTGTATAAATACTAGAGCCGTGCGGTTCCGGATAGCAGAAATTGAAAAACTCCGGTTCCGGTTCGGTTCCTAAAATCTGTTTTGAGAACCGGGGATTTTACAATACTATACAAAATATTAAAACATAGATTTTTTTCAGAAATTTCTCCAAGTTCATTCTTAAGATCGTTGACGTTTATTATTTTATAAAAAGAGCAATATGTTCCAAAAGAAAAAAAAATTATGTTGTATCTTAATAGTGTTTTAGCTACCATTAAAAATATTTTTTCGGTTCCACCGGTTCCAGTTTCGGTTCCATCGTCTTTTATTTCACGATTCCGGTTCGGTTCCGGATAGCAGAAATCGAAAAACTCCGGTTCCGGTTCGGTTTTCGGTTCTATTTTTTACGGAACCGCAGGGCTCTAATAAATACATACATACTCTTTGAAAAAATATATCACATGTCTTGATTGAATCGTTACTTGAATATATTAAAACTCAATTTATGAAATTAATCAAAAACGATTACTAGTATCCATCTATAATTAGAATATGAATCGTCATCTTGCTATTATTATTATTCTCAAGAACATTGTTCAGTCGTATCTATTATGGACTAGATATTTAGTTTATTCTTTGACATCGACTTATATTATATTAATGCTTATTATGCTCTATGAGAAGAAGAAAATCCGAATTTCTTCTCTCAGACAATAACATTGCTTTTACGTAGTCTAACAAAAACTCCATTATTTTCATAGCATTAATACTTTTGATTATATCTTTCTACGAAATATTTCTACGAGGGTTCCATTAGTGCATCTTCAGCACTCACACACACACATTCTGATTATCTGTAACTGCTTGACTTCGAACTTAGTTTGCTCGTCGATGACTATAATGATTGAAATATCTACGCCTGATCAGTGCTCACCAAAAACAATTATAAACTGACATCACTTTGGGCACTAAATCGAGTTATGATCAAGTTTTACCCTAATTCACAAACTGACTTGTCCATTGTTGACTTGAGCATTAACTACGTTAATCCGAAAACGGACGTCATTATAGTTTAGACGCTAACATATATAATTTTTTTCTTTTTATATTCATTTTAAGGTATGAAAAATTCTACTACGGTGTACTTTGTGGTAACCACAATGGAAAATATACCCTGTGTATTACTACGATCATTCTCAGTCACGAGAGCGCCCAAATGTGTGTTTTCACCCACGCTCTCAGCACCTGAGAGATCCTTCGGTGTGTCTTTCAGCGTTTGCTCTCACCCGAACATATAAATGTCAACTAGCATATTACTAACCTGGTATTTCTGTTGTGGTTGTTGATGTGGTCGATGATGTTGATGACGTTGCTGAGGAGGATGACGTCGACGTTGTTGTCGCCGATGATGTGGTTGTCGATGATGATGTTGACGTTGATGTTGTTGATGTAGTCGATGATGTTGACGATGTCGTTGATGTTGTTGATGACGTTGCCGATGATGTTGTTGATGTGGTCGATGATGTTGCTGACGTTGCTGACGAGAATGATGTAGTTGATGACGTTGCTGACGAGGATGATGCAGTTGATGACGTTGACGTTGTTGTCGCCGACGATGTGGTTGTCGATGATGATGTTGAGGTTGATGTTGTTGGTGACGTTGATGATGATGTTGTTGATGTAGTCGATGATGTCGTTGTCGATGGTGATGTTGACGTTGATGTTGTTGCGGACGTTGATGATGTTGTTGTTGATGTAGTTGTTGATGTAGTCGATGATGTTGTTGACGAGGATAATGTAGTTGATGATGTTGTTGACGA